ATTGAGCAGTGATGACACATCTACAAGATCATCTTCCTCAGACAACATTGCGGGAGCAGAAAGGAGAGGCGACTGGTCTGAGAGGAAATGGATTGTGAATGAGTCATGTCTAATGGAACTGTTTACAACTTGTCACACATGCGGGATATCCATTTGTGAGAAGAAGATCACCAGCCGTGGATCAAAAATTAAAATAGAATGGACATGCATCAATCACCATATGGGAGTGTGGGAGTCCTGTCCTGATGTCCGTGGAATACCTGAGAACAACCTGGTATCCTCAGCAGCCATTATTTTCACAGGAACAACACAGAATGAAATTGAAGAGTGGGCTGATCTTCTAAACTTACAACTGCCAAAGAAAACATCATACTATTCACTGCAGTCCACCTATATGATACCTGTTATTCAAGAAGCCTACACCGAGATGCAAGAGGAGATTTTGTCAGAACTCAGGGAAACTGAAGCTGCTGGTGGACACACAGATATCTGTGGTGATGCAAGGTGGATATTCCCATAATGGATCATGCAGTATATGTAGTTAGTTGTCCTGTTACATTATAATTCACATCAAATCATTTTTGCCATCACTCCACAAGTAACTTCCTTGTTTGTCTTCTACAGATCTGATTCCCCGGGTTACAGTGCCAAGTACACCTGTTACAGCTTTATGGAAGATGCAACAAAGAAAGTCATCATGTCAGATCTAATTCAGGTAAAGTATGAATAGTTTTGCCAAGTAAGTTATTGAGTGTGTTTTATCACTTTGTTCTGCTTTTCACAGGCGTCTCTGCATGTTTGTTCTGTATTTCCTGTTACAATGATCAATACAGGTAACTGAGGCTACCAGTTCAACAGCAATGGAGCCTGTTGGTTTCCGGAGGGGCCTGGATCGTCTGCTGGACTCCGGCGTTGGTGTTAACGTGGTAACTACTGACCGGGCTCCATCAATACGGAAGATCATGAGGGAGTCCTATCCTGAGCTTAGGCATCAATTTGACCCATGGCATGTTGCAAAAGGTACCATTATTTGGGCATTATACACTGCTTCATTTTGTGAAATCTTCACGTTTGAACCTTTGCATAAGTCTATTGTAATGCTATTACAGTTGACAAAATAATTTATACATTTATTTTCATCTTTTATGCATTATTTAGGTATAAAGAAGAAGGCAACTGCATTGGCAAGGAAGAAAGAAAACCGGGACCTGCAGCCATGGATCAAGTCTCTGGGCAATCACTTCTGGTGGTCGTGCAGTTCTTGTGGTGGCGATGAGAAGGTGATGCTCATAGACATGTTGTTATGCATAACGCAGTACTGTTTTTTCTTCAATACAACTAGTTCTTTTCATTCATGAATTTGCCAAGCTGTTTCATAGTGATGTTATGCCTTGTAAAAGCCAACACGGCTCCAAAACAGAAAAGGAACACCACAACAATGCAATGTAACTTCAAGTTACTTACACTTCTGTGATACCAGCCTGTCCAGTTCTGAAGCAACGCTCATTGTGAATCCATTTTTCCTACTCTTGTAAAAATTTCGCAAGCAATGATTAGAAATTAGAGATAAAAACGAAACCCTTAGAAGCTGATGATGATCTATACACGTTGAACATTTGTTTCACACAAAAGCATGTTCAGATATGAATACTCTGTGTCTAAAATGTACCTGAGAAAATTGCTAAGCAGTGTCTAATTGTCCTCAAATAGGAGTTGAAA